AAGCTAAGTGTAATAGATACACTAAGTGAAGAGAGTGTGATAGATACACTATATGAACAAAGTGTGATAGATACACTAAGTGAAGCAAAGTGTGATAAATACACAAAAGTAAGCACAAAGTGTGATATATACACTAAGCGAAGCTAAGTGTAATAGATACACTAAGTGAAGAGAGTGTGATAGATACACTATATGAACAAAGTGTGATAGATACACTAAGTGAAGCAAAGTGTGATAAATACACAAAAGTAAGCACAAAGTGTGATATATACACTAAGCGAAGCTAAGTGTAATAGATACACTAAGTGAAGAGAGTGTGATAGATACACTATATGAACAAAGTGTGATAGATACACTAAGTGAAGCAAAGTGTGATAAATACACAAAAGTAAGCACAAAGTGTGATATATACACTAAGCGAAGCTAAGTGTAATAGATACACTAAGTGAAGAGAGTGTGATAGATACACTATATGAACAAAGTGTGATAGATACACTAAGTGAAGCAAAGTGTGATAAATACACAAAAGTAAGCACAAAGTGTGATATATACACTAAGCGAAGCTAAGTGTAATAGATACACTAAGTGAAGAGAGTGTGATAGATACACTATATGAACAAAGTGTGATAGATACACTAAGTGAAGCAAAGTGTGATAAATACACAAAAGTAAGCACAAAGTGTGATATATACACTAAGCGAAGCTAAGTGTAATAGATACACTAAGTGAAGAGAGTGTGATAGATACACTATATGAACAAAGTGTGATAGATACACTAAGTGAAGCAAAGTGTGATAAATACACAAAAGTAAGCACAAAGTGTGATATATACACTAAGCGAAGCTAAGTGTAATAGATACACTAAGTGAAGAGAGTGTGATAGATACACTATATGAACAAAGTGTGATAGATACACTAAGTGAAGCAAAGTGTGATAAATACACAAAAGTAAGCACAAAGTGTGATATATACACTAAGCGAAGCTAAGTGTAATAGATACACTAAGTGAAGAGAGTGTGATAGATACACTATATGAACAAAGTGTGATAGATACACTAAGTGAAGCAAAGTGTGATAAATACACAAAAGTAAGCACAAAGTGTGATATATACACTAAGCGAAGCTAAGTGTAATAGATACACTAAGTGAAGAGAGTGTGATAGATACACTATATGAACAAAGTGTGATAGATACACTAAGTGAAGCAAAGTGTGATAAATACACAAAAGTAAGCACAAAGTGTGATATATACACTAAGCGAAGCTAAGTGTAATAGATACACTAAGTGAAGAGAGTGTGATAGATACACTATATGAACAAAGTGTGATAGATACACTAAGTGAAGCAAAGTGTGATAAATACACAAAAGTAAGCACAAAGTGTGATATATACACTAAGCGAAGCTAAGTGTAATAGATACACTAAGTGAAGAGAGTGTGATAGATACACTATATGAACAAAGTGTGATAGATACACTAAGTGAAGCAAAGTGTGATAAATACACAAAAGTAAGCACAAAGTGTGATATATACACTAAGCGAAGCTAAGTGTAATAGATACACTAAGTGAAGAGAGTGTGATAGATACACTATATGAACAAAGTGTGATAGATACACTAAGTGAAGCAAAGTGTGATAAATACACAAAAGTAAGCACAAAGTGTGATATATACACTAAGCGAAGCTAAGTGTAATAGATACACTAAGTGAAGAGAGTGTGATAGATACACTATATGAACAAAGTGTGATAGATACACTAAGTGAAGCAAAGTGTGATAAATACACAAAAGTAAGCACAAAGTGTGATATATACACTAAGCGAAGCTAAGTGTAATAGATACACTAAGTGAAGAGAGTGTGATAGATACACTATATGAACAAAGTGTGATAGATACACTAAGTGAAGCAAAGTGTGATAAATACACAAAAGTAAGCACAAAGTGTGATATATACACTAAGCGAAGCTAAGTGTAATAGATACACTAAGTGAAGAGAGTGTGATAGATACACTATATGAACAAAGTGTGATAGATACACTAAGTGAAGCAAAGTGTGATAAATACACAAAAGTAAGCACAAAGTGTGATATATACACTAAGCGAAGCTAAGTGTAATAGATACACTAAGTGAAGAGAGTGTGATAGATACACTATATGAACAAAGTGTGATAGATACACTAAGTGAAGCAAAGTGTGATAAATACACAAAAGTAAGCACAAAGTGTGATATATACACTAAGCGAAGCTAAGTGTAATAGATACACTAAGTGAAGAGAGTGTGATAGATACACTATATGAACAAAGTGTGATAGATACACTAAGTGAAGCAAAGTGTGATAAATACACAAAAGTAAGCACAAAGTGTGATATATACACTAAGCGAAGCTAAGTGTAATAGATACACTAAGTGAAGAGAGTGTGATAGATACACTATATGAACAAAGTGTGATAGATACACTAAGTGAAGCAAAGTGTGATAAATACACAAAAGTAAGCACAAAGTGTGATATATACACTAAGCGAAGCTAAGTGTAATAGATACACTAAGTGAAGAGAGTGTGATAGATACACTATATGAACAAAGTGTGATAGATACACTAAGTGAAGCAAAGTGTGATAAATACACAAAAGTAAGCACAAAGTGTGATATATACACTAAGCGAAGCTAAGTGTAATAGATACACTAAGTGAAGAGAGTGTGATAGATACACTATATGAACAAAGTGTGATAGATACACTAAGTGAAGCAAAGTGTGATAAATACACAAAAGTAAGCACAAAGTGTGATATATACACTAAGCGAAGCTAAGTGTAATAGATACACTAAGTGAAGAGAGTGTGATAGATACACTATATGAACAAAGTGTGATAGATACACTAAGTGAAGCAAAGTGTGATAAATACACAAAAGTAAGCACAAAGTGTGATATATACACTAAGCGAAGCTAAGTGTAATAGATACACTAAGTGAAGAGAGTGTGATAGATACACTATATGAACAAAGTGTGATAGATACACTAAGTGAAGCAAAGTGTGATAAATACACAAAAGTAAGCACAAAGTGTGATATATACACTAAGCGAAGCTAAGTGTAATAGATACACTAAGTGAAGAGAGTGTGATAGATACACTATATGAACAAAGTGTGATAGATACACTAAGTGAAGCAAAGTGTGATAAATACACAAAAGTAAGCACAAAGTGTGATATATACACTAAGCGAAGCTAAGTGTAATAGATACACTAAGTGAAGAGAGTGTGATAGATACACTATATGAACAAAGTGTGATAGATACACTAAGTGAAGCAAAGTGTGATAAATACACAAAAGTAAGCACAAAGTGTGATATATACACTAAGCGAAGCTAAGTGTAATAGATACACTAAGTGAAGAGAGTGTGATAGATACACTATATGAACAAAGTGTGATAGATACACTAAGTGAAGCAAAGTGTGATAAATACACAAAAGTAAGCACAAAGTGTGATATATACACTAAGCGAAGCTAAGTGTAATAGATACACTAAGTGAAGAGAGTGTGATAGATACACTATATGAACAAAGTGTGATAGACTTTAAAATCCTATTCATGAATCTAACATCATGAAGCAATTTCTTGGCAATTTCTTATTCAAAACCCAATGATTTTTGGCTCACTTGGACCCAACACAAAAAATGGTTAGGACCCACTTTAATATTTAATTAAAGTCACTACACTTTAATATTAAATTAAGTCCCCAAAAATTATTTTTTCCAATAATTTCTCCATTTTCACCGTTAAAGTTGGAATCCAAATTTAACAAATCAAAATTTGACCATACTGTACTTTAATTTAACCACCACTTCAAAATCATAATTAGCACGACTTTAGAAGAAAAAAACAAAACATATGATCCACTTTTAAGATGTGTGGACAATAGAATTGTTGAAAAAAATATTATGGTAATTTTAATGTGAAATTAAGGTCCTGTTTGGTAGAGTTGTGGAAAAGTGATTATAACTTATAACCTAACAACTTATAGCTTATAACTGTGAACATAAGCTGATTTTTGACTTATAAATTAAGTTTCTCCTCTCCCACTCAATGAATAAGTTGATTTTTGACTTACAAAAAGCTATAAGCTGTATTGTTAAGCTGAACCAAACACATCAAAATAGTTTAAATTAAGCTAAAAGCTGAAATAAGCTGGAAATAAGTTTTACCAAACAGGGCCTAAATTAGGTTCTAACCATTGGTTGAAGTGAGATTAAATAAGTTTAGATTCTTTGTAACAAGATCTTTACATCATAAAAAGAATGACGAAAAACTATTAAGAGTTGAATGAGAAATTGTCTTATAAAGTTGACCTCATGAATGAGGCATTAAGAATTATGTATAACTACCAATCCCACATTGATTGTAGAGGAAAACATTAATGGGTATTTGAACCTTAAGATTTTTATAAGGGCATGAGCCTTTTGGGGCATCTAAATTTTTCAAAGGAAGGAAGTTACGGATGCTTCCAGGATGGGCTTGGGCCAAAGCTATGCTCTAAGTTGGTAATGCAAAAATTACCACGCGCGCGTGTGCCGCCTGGCCAGACTAGGTCCAGGGGCTTGGGTTTGGGTTGGGCCAGTTTTGTTTGCTACATTTGTTGTCAGCCTTCATGGGAGGCTCTTCCTCTCTCCTCCATTGTGTATAAAAGGAGACCTCTTCTTTGATTTTGGGGACAAAATTTTTGGCTTCGATACTGTATAGTCAGTCTGTCTAAATATTTTTCTTCCTGTGAGAGAGTAAGGCTATTGTTCGTTCGCCGGAGCTAAACAAAAGGTGTTTTTGCATTACCGGGTCTATACCGTCGTATCTTAGGAGACAAACGCCGATATACCTCCAGCATCCATAGTGAGGTGACAAATCTGTTTTTAAGAACTAGCCTTCATAATCCCAACACGCTCGTGTGCACGCACAAACACGAGCACGCACAAACAGAGAGACAGAGCGTTTTTTTTTTTGTTTTTCTTGATGGGAAGAGACAGAGAGACAGAGGAATACAATGTGGAAATACTGAAAACAACCAAGAAGTTATTGGAGCTTCTCTCAGAGGGACTAGGTTTGGATGGGAAGGTTTTGAATTCTTCTTTGGGTGGTGATGAAATTGAATTTGAAATGAAAATCAACATGTACCCACCATGCCCACAACCTCAGCTCGCCCTCGGAGTTGAACCTCACACTGACATGTCTGCTCTCACTTTACTTGTCCCCAATGACGTTCCCGGTCTTCAAGTTTGGAAAGACGGTAATTGGGTAGCTGTCAATTACTTGCCAAATGCACTCTTCGTCCATGTTGGTGATCAACTTGAGGTAAAAATACTCTTCTCTTGCTCACCTAGAAATATCAAACAAATGAACAAAAAGTCTAGTAAAAGGAAAAAAAAAAAAAAAACTCAACACTTGGAGAAAATTGCATTGAATATGACAGTAATGATTCAAATTTAGCATATATATGTGAAAACATAGAGTTCTTCAAGCAATGGGTCTATTTGACAGTTTTTTGTAAGTTGAAAGCTAATAATTAGAAACAGAAAGCCAAAAGCACTCATTCGTGTACTTCTCAACAATCAGTTATTTATTTTATTTTACATTTTATAAATATTTTTGCCTCATAAGTTAAAAGCAGAAACTGCATCAAACATTGGCACAAATTTTCAAAAGAAAAATGCTGTAAACATCTGCTGCACTAGACAGGGCCAATATCTAGCCTGACTTTAGTGAAAAAATTCAAGATTCAGAAAGCGTTTCAGTGCTGCAACTTACAAAACATTTTGTTTCAGGTACTAAGCAATGGTAAGTACAAGAGTGTTCTTCACAGGAGTTTGGTGAACAAAGAAAGGACAAGAATGTCTTGGGCTGTGTTTGTCGTGCCTCCTCATGAAGCAGTGATTGGACCTCTTCCAGAGCTCATTGATGAGAAAAACCCAGCAAAATATTCAACCAAAACATATGCTGAGTACCGTTATCGCAAATTCAATAAGATTCCACAATAATTGCATTTTATTGAGCTGAGAGGTTGGCATTGGAAAAGTCTATGCTGGTTCTCGATATTAATATGTCTGTTTTTGTCCCAGTTCCACTCAAGTATGATTGTGCCTCTACAGAGGAACTTTCAGGATTTGTGGGTACAGAATTGTTTCTGGTTCAGTTCATATATTGCTTTTGCTGAGAAATTATCTTCATTACAGTCCAATGTATTGTACCCCCTGAATGTTTCTTAAATAAGATTATTTCTATTATTCAGTTTGAACTTAAATTAATCCATGAAACCATCTCATACTTGGTATTGAATGATAATATCAATAACTAAAAATGTTTGCACTTGCCTAAAACCTTCCCCTAAAAGAATGAATAAACTAAGAAGAAAAGTGCTTTAGTATCAGAATATCTGAATAGATTTACATATCAATAGTTGCAGCAGAATTGTAGAACTGTGCTAAGGTGCCCAAACTATGAGGGAAATATCGAAAACTTCCTTCTAGCCTTTAATATCCTAAATAACTACAAAATAAGACTAAAGTGTTAATCACATGATTTCAATTGGGCACAGGCAAATCCACAAATTTACAACCTTAATGCTTCTTTTATTTTGTTATTTTCTAGATCATATAATGGACTACATCAAAGTGTCACGATTTGGTTGAGAACATGTTGTGATAGGTTCCGGAAATGGAGAAATTGTCAGTTTTCTCCTTAAAATTTATGCAAAGATAACCCTAGATAAGTCAATAATGAGCCCTTTGTAGGATCACAAAATTAAAAACACAACACAAGAAGGATCCTAAACAATAGTGTGAAGAAGAACCAACAATTCTAGACTTTAATTTAAACTATAATAAGCAAACCATTAACTTAAGAAAGAGGTGTTGGTCTTTTGGCTCATATCATCATTAAAATTAGGAAAGGAGGAAACAATCACCTATTGATTGAAGCATACCCCAATTAATTGGATGGTTGATTTCAATGTTATGATGTTATAACACCATGAAATATACCCAGTTTTAATCTTTTATAGCCAAAACAAAAAATAAAACTGATTTATAGCTTTAAAAGTGCTCGAATAATCTCAACCTTTCTTTATTTTGTTTACTCAAAACTCCGACTATAGAATTTTCGCTTTCTAGGTTATGCTTCACAAGATTCAAAAACCAGGCTAAGCAACAAAAATGTGAATTCATCTAGTAATGTTTTTGTATTTCTACTTTGTTTTATTCTATTTTCTGAATGGTGGAATCCATCCAAATTTAGATAATTTTATCCACAAGCTGATAATTTTATCCAACTTGTTCAAGATTTATCGGAATAAAGCAAAAAATAGTAAAGAACAAGCCTTAACATAAAAAGGAAATACAAAATTATCTCTGAGATTGAAACGCAAAATGCAAAAAAATATAATATTAACAAAAGTTCGAGAATATATTTATAAACAATAGCAAAAGGATATTAATGATAATCATAGTGATTTTCAGACAGTAATAAAGGCCAGATCGGACACATAAAACGCAGTCAGGTCTAAACAGCTACTAAAAAACAATCACTTTACTTAAGCCATTAAAACACCATGCAGTGTACAAGAAGAAGTAAGAATTGAGTTATTGAATTTCATTAGAGAGACTGCAACAACTAAATGAAAAATAGAATTACGTGTTGGAGCAATCTTCTGTGTAAATAAAATAAATTGAAACTAAATCAAATAAATAAATAAATAACGTACCGAATTTATTTATCAAACCGAATTTAAAAATCAAAGACCAAGTCGAGTGTGTGACACGCTGTCCTTAAAACAGATTCGCCCCGCTACGGTACTTACGGTTGAGTGGTGTCTATCTCCCAGGATACAATGATTTTCACAAATTTGTAGTAACACTCCAAACAAATTTGTCCGGCGAACTAGAACCTTGTGTTCTATACTCTCTTTAAATTTACTCTAAAACTAATATGAAGAAATAATGCAAATAGAAAAATCTGGACAACAAGAGAAATAAAATTCAGACAGATTTTCCGTGTCCAAGACTGTTGGAAATGGTCTGAATTTATAGGCAAAAAACTGACCCGAACAGGTACCAAATTGAAGTGAATAGGTGCACATTTAAATTGAACAGGTGCAAACACTATTCAAACAGATAACTGTTGAATAGTGATCTGTCCGTTGCTTAGATCAATTTTTCAAACTGTTTGAAAAAGTATTCGTTAGTGGAACAGTTTTTTAAACTGTTGGAACATTTTTATTAAACTGTTTGAACAGTTTAATCAATAAAGGAAGAGGTACATTCTTAGGAAATCACTTAGGAAACCAAAATTTGAATTTAGATTTAAATTAAATTCTCATAATAATTATTTTTGAAAAAATTCAAATGAATTTTGTCTAAAAAATTAATGTTAGACCTGAAAACGACATCAACTTCCCATTCACTCATAAATGGTCTAGATGTTTCGTTTTCACCGTGTGACTTGCCACGCGGCAAGGAACACATTACCTCTTCGGACACAACCCAAAAAATAGTTGGAGCCCACTCAATTTTGGGCTCAAAGATGGCCCAAAAAAGCCTATATTACACCATTTTTCGAATAATCCCCCACATGAATGGCATTTGACAGAGAGAAAATGCAACAATATGATCTAAATACAGAGAGTACAGAAATTGAAAATATTCTACAAAAGATAGGTAGCTTTTGACTTTGAACCTTCCCTTGTGAGACACTATTGGATTTATTAGTTAACCAGTGAACATGATGTCTTGAACTGTTCAGTCGTTTGTGTAAACCAAGATAATAGAACTCACACAGTATATCCCCAGACACAGTTTAGTTCTCACTATTGTGTTCATTTCGGCCCTAAACAACCTGGTCTTTCATGAGTGCTCCTGAGAATTGTAGCTCTTCACAAATCTCATAGAACCGGCCCAGTTCACACTCACATAAGTGATTCCTATGAAGAGTATCCTGCCATACTCTACTAGGTTTACTTGGATATAAGAATCATTAAAATTTTACTTAACCTAAAACGCAGCAGACATCACTTATTTCATCATAGAAATGGGTAGGAGTTAAACTCCCTAGTGATCTTTCTGAGTCATTCACAACTCGGTTGTCCCTTTGAACCTAGATCTTGTGATCTCCAGTCAACTAGGTTGGGTTGCCGTTGTGGTAACTCTTATTTAATAGGCTTAAGTTCCATTCCCCTCGATGAATTCTCAACTAGCTCTCTTGCTAACCCTTTGGTTAGTGGATCCGCTATGTTGTCTTTAGACTTCACATATTCAATGGAAATAATTCCATTAGAGAGTAGTTGTCTTACGGTGTTATGTCGGCGACGAATGTGTCGTGACTTACCGTTATACATATGACTCTGTGTTTTACTTATTGCTGATTGACTATCACAATGTATGCAAATAGCAGGCATTGGTTTTGGCCAAATTGGAATATCTTCAAGGAAGTAGCGAAGCCATTCTGCCTCTTCCCCTGCTTTGTTTAAAGCTATGAATTCTGATTCCATAGTAGACCTAGCAATGCAAGTCTGTTTGGAAGATTTCCAAGATACAGCCGCCCCACCAAGAGTAAAGACATACCCACTGGTGGACTTTGAATCTGTAGTATCTGATATCCAATTTGCATCACAGTATCCTTCAAGTACTGCTGGATATCTAGTATAATTCAGCCCAATGTTATGAGCGAATCGGAGATATCTTAGAACCCTTATAATTGCTTTCCAGTGTTCTACGGGGATTACTCATATATCTACTTAATTTACTTACGACATAAGCTATATCCGGGCGAGTGCAGTTCATCAAGTACATTAAACTTCCAATAATTTGGGCATACTCTAATTGAGAAATACTTTCTTGTACATTTTTAGATAGAAACAAATTAACATCTACAGGTGTTCTAGCAAGATGATCATCATCTTTGTTGAATTTGTCAAGTATTTTCTCAATGAAATGAGATTGTGACAAAGCATAACCTTCTGATGTTTTGGTAATTTTCATACCAAAGATTACATCAGCAATGCCCATGTCCTTCATGTCAAAATGTTTATTCAACATTTTCTTGGTAGTTTTAATCATATCATTATTACTACCTATATGAGCATATCATCTACATAAAGACATACAAAGACATAACCTTTGTCTGTGTTTTTAATATAAACACATTTGTCACACTCATTAATTTTGAATCCATTTGACATCATTGCCTTGTCAAATTTCTCATACCATTGCTTTGGCGCTTGTTTGAAACCATATAATGATTTAACCAATTTACACACTTTCTTTTCCGTCCCTGGAACAGAAAACCCTTCTGGTTGTTCCATGTAAATTTCTTCATTTAACTCACCATTTAAGAAAGTGGTTTTCACATCCATTTGATGAATTTCTAGATTGTATAGAGATGCAATGGCAATTAGCATTCTAATGGATGTTATTCTAGTAACCGGTGAGTATGTGTCAAAGTAATCAAGACCTTCTTTTTGTCTAAAACCTTTGACCACAAGTGGTTTACAACCTGGTGGCAAATCCACCAATTTCCAAGTGTGATTTTGCAAGATGGATTCAACTTCACTATTGGTAGCTTCTTTCCATAAAGGAGCTTCAGGACTGGACATAGCCTCTTTAAAAGTTAAAGGCTCATTTTCTAACAAATATGTTAGAAAATCTGGACCAAAAGATATTGAGGTTCTAGCACGTTTACTACGCCTAAGTTCCTCTTCCTCATTTTGATCTAACTCTTATTCTTGATCATGTT